CGAAAGTCGTTGGATGGGTTCCTTCTCGGACCGCTGACAATGTGTTACCCGCCAAAGGAAGATAGACTCGATGCGCTCTGAGATCGAGCAGATGAACAACAAACTGGACGCGGTTCTAGCAGAGACGGCTAGGCTCCAAGCTGAGTCCGCAGCAAACGGCTCCCGTCGACAGCTTCAAGCACAGGCCCGGTATGAGGATCTCCCAGCGCCTCTGTCCCATGAAGATCCTCCATCTGTTCCGTCTCACCAATCCGTTGTTCAACATAGCGGTCCTCCGTCCGGGACACCGGGCAACATAACGAGTCCCGCTGGCATATCATGCAGAGAGGATAATACGCATATGGCCATGACACGGGAGAATTCGCCGGACCCGGTATCGCATGGCGATCCAAGCAATGGATCGGTAACTGTCGAGGATCCGATGGGCAGTCTGTACGAAGTGACCAGGCTTCGCAATATTCGTAGCAATAAGTCAAAAATGACGAGGCCACTCCCGGAAGGCCAAGAGCAACTCAACGACTTCATTTCTAGGGGAGTAATCGCCGAGTCGGAAGCTGAAGAGCTTTATGAGATGTAAGTCTTTCAGCTACAAGTAGCCCACGAGTTAGCTGACAACGAAACTAGCTTCCATACCTCACTGAACCACTATCTGTGGGTTGGTCTCGAACAAACGCATCCTTCCTTCATCTCAGTTCGACGGTCCTCCGAACTTCTGACCGCAACAATCCTAGCCGTGACTGCCCTCCACATCCCGACCTCCGCAGCAGCAGCAACATTCGACATATGCTACAAGGAATTTCTATCCCTCATATCCTCTTCCATGTTCTCCCGGTACCACTCCATAGATGACGTCCGCGGCCTCTGCATCGCCGCATTCTGGATGTCCGAAGTATCATGGAAGCTATCCGGACACGCCATCCGTATCGCTACGGAGCTAAACATTCATCAGTCCTTCACAGCAGCCTTGGACGGAAACAAAGAGCACTTCCTGCGAGCTAGGCTGTGGTACATGCTATACGTGTGCGACCACCACTTCAGCATCGCCTACGGACGCCCGCCTATGATTGCCGAAAGCATCCAGATTCGAGAACACGAGCTTTTCCTAGCCAGCCCGTTCTCGAACGCCTTGGACGCGAGAATCCTAAGCCAGGTCAACCTCATGCAAATCCTTACGCGGGTCTATGACCGCTTCGCAGAAAGAAAGCTGCCGGCCCTCAACGAGATCAGGGGCAGGTTCGGGTCCGCCCGAGACCCCGTAATCGGATTGACAAGCGGGACCAACAGCTTCTCCCAAGGCAGAGCAGACGCAACTGACCAGTCTTCCAGCAACGACCCTTCCACCGCCATGCTGGTCGAGTCGGACTTTGAAGCCCTGCGCATGTTCAACCTGGAAATCGACCAGTGGCGGATGCGCTGGCACGCGCGCCAGACGCGAAACTTCTGCATCGGCAGCTTTCCCCCGCTGGGCATCATTCTCTACTCGTACTTCGCCAAGCTCCAAATCAACTCGCTGGCCGTCCGCGGCATCTCTCTCGCAGGTTCGACGCAGGACCAGTTCCTCTCCACGGAACGCAAAGAGTTTGCGAACCTGGCAGTTTCCGCCGCCGTGAGTATCATCACGTTCGTCCTGGAGGAGGACGACATGCGTAGGGCGCTGGTCGGCACGCCACTGTATGTGCACACGATGATTGCGTTTGCGAGCGTGTTCTTGATGAAGGTCGCAACGCGGTGGAACTCGGTCATGGGCTTGAAGGTGGAAGAGGAGTACGTTGCAAGGCTTCTGGGTAGGATGATTGGTGTGCTGAAGAGCGCGGTCACGTCGGACCGGCATGTGCTGAAGCATATTGCGACGGGCTTGGAAAAGATGCTGGAGAGAATGGAGGAGTCTAGGCGACGAAGGCAGAACTGTGAGAATGTGGGAGCAGCACGAGGGCAGATGGATGGGCCGGCAGGTGTTGGTATGATGGGCAGCTTTGGAGGACATCAATACGGAGTCGGCTATGAAGTCAGCCCGAACGCGAATAGAGGAGTTGACGCATTCTCCCGACCTTCGGTAGATGCGGGCGGGCTGATAGGTGCGCACTTAAACACCCCGGCAACTTGGGGAGCTGGCGGGTTGGGTCAAACTCCTCACCAGCCTGTGGACCACTCTTACTTTGGCGACGGACTCAACTTGATGGATGATAACTTGATCTTCGAGGCGTTTGGAACGGGGTCCGCAAACGATGTGTACAACCTTCTATCTAGTCAATTTTCTTCTGGGTAGGGCTCTGTTTCTGTGACACAACAGGTAACACCAAATCTGTCTACAAAAGTCGTGTTGACTCTAGCTTTTCTACAACAATTGCCTGCATTGAAATCATTCTTCATCGGCGGGGTCGCTAGGCCAGAAGAACCAAGACAAGACAATAAAGAACTTCATCACCGCCGCAGTCCACAACGCGCCCGCGATGCCAAATGAACTATGCGCGAACAAACCTCCGCAAATGGCCCCGACGAGCAGCAGCACAGGCGCGCCGACCCTGCGGTTCCGCTCCGCGTTGCGCACCGAAAACAGCTCGGCGTCGGAGAACAGGTCGCAGTAGATACTCGTCAGCACGACGCTGGTGAGGGCGTTGTACTTGAGCGCGCGGCTCGTGACGGCCTGGCCGCAGCTCTGGAAGGCGATGAGCGCGATGGGGACCAGCACGTTCCACGCGATCTCGTCCTTGCCGGCCGCGGGGCCGAAGGTCAGGATGACGGCCGCGGCGGTGCACAGCAGCGTCTGCAGGATGAAGGACGCGCAGAGCACCCAGCGGCGCTTCGGGGAGAAGAAGCGGTGGAAGCGGCTGAAGACGAAGGAGCCCAGGCAGAAGGAGCCGAGCGAGGTGGCGGACTTGATCCAGCGGGTGGATTCGGTGGGGGCGGCGAGGCCGAGGCCGATGTAGACGGTGTTTCCTGGGTGTTTGTGTCAGTCGCCAACGCTTTGGGGCGAAACAGGAAACAGTTTTGTTGTCTGTTGCTGTGGGGGCCGTTGAGGAAACACGGAGAGGGGATGTACCTGTTTGCATTGAGACGAAAGAGCCCCAGATGGAGATGGAAGAGCTGTCCAGAAGACCGGTGATGATGTAGCACGCCAAGAGGACGAGGTCTGCCCAGTCGCGCTGCACGTCGGTGGTCAACTTCTTGCGGAGGGACTTTGTTGGCTTCCTGCTGCCGCCGCCGCCGCCCAGCAGAGGCTGCTCCTCATCGGCATGGGCGTGCGAGTCGCCGTTGACCACCGGCACCGAGTTGGTGACGGAGCCGTAGTTCCCGTTGGTGCTCATCTTGGATGCGGAAGACTGGTGTGAAAGCTTTCGCGTCTCTCGGGTCGAACAGTCCAATGACTGACTAGTGTAGAATCGGGAAAAGCAAAAGAAGCCGGGCTGTCTGCAGAGAAGACGCGCGATGTTAACAGACAAATATCGTCACTGGGCAAGCTATGACCTAATTAGGGGAGCCGTTACCCACTGTAAAGCTCTGACCGGGTGATGAAGTGTTGGCGTTATAAATAAAATAAGGTCGGATGTTACAAACGGACAAGACGGGACGCGCAATGTGCCAGTGCCGGTCTGCCGCGGTCCACACTGAGATTAGAGATCGCAGGGTCGCTCGCGAAATGTTTCCAGGTTTTCCAGCCTGGTTTATATGGGCCAGGGAGGATGCCGAGAAGGAAAAGGTGCGGATAGCAATGCCGAAGAAAAGCCAAGAGCTCACCCCGCCCTTGAGACGACGCTGTGTGGTGCCCCTTGGTGTTTTTGTATGTTGTGTCTGCTTGATGAGGGGTGAAGGGTCAATGGGCACTAAAGATAGGAAATCAAGAGGGGGAAATCAACCATTGGAGAAGAGCTCGAGGTACGGTAAACTGAGATTGGATGAGATGTGCAAAAGGGCTTGCTGCAGTGAAACCTTTGATCCCAGGGCCTGGCCGGGCCAGCTTCTTCTCCAGGATCTCCGACATATTCCCCGTCCAATTGCAGCGGGATGTGGTCCTTGGAGTTAAGCTCAATCCGCAGGAACCTGCGTCATGACCGCTGCAGAGTGCCCCTCGAGTGGATTCGCTCCAACAGTCTTGCACGGATATTCCAGTGAGATGCAAGTGAGAAGCAGTGAGAAGAGAGCAAGCAGGCATTGAGAAGCGCTGGGGCTAATCCGATTAGAGTGCATCGGCAACTCATGTACTTAGTATATCCCCTTCCCCCCTCTCGCTCCCGTCATGTCACTAAAGAAAGACGAGCTGAGTGGTTCGCCGTGGTTCATCCCCGCACGATGAGCGCTCGCCCTATGCCGCGTTTCACTCTCTGGCGGGGATGGCGGCTCAGCTCCGCCAGGTTACGGCCTCTTGTAAACAGAGCGAGTCTAGTCAAGCTAGAGGTGTAAGAGCACGTCGTAGTATGCCTCGAAGCTACTACCTTGCCATGCTGCTGTAGCTGCGGGGGAGCTCCGGATTGGAAGCTCGGGGGTTCGGCATGTGCGATGGATGAATTGGATTGGTGTGCGCGGTGTAGCAGACGGATATGCATGGTACGTGGGAGACAGACCAGAGAGAGTGTGTGTGTGTCGACCTGCAGCGATGGGCAGCCGAGGTGATGCGCCGATGACTACGAGCTCTACCTTGCCCTTTGTAAGCTCTGTGTTTACGTACCACATCTTTCCATAGCCTGCGACAATGGGTAAGGCCGAGGAAGAGGTCATGGCAAGGTTCCTGGACTGGCATGACATGACATGATTTCAGGAGGAGAGGAGGGATGACGAGATCAGAGGAGGTATAAAATCTGCCTCTCTTCCCATGATCACAAGCTCAATTGCGCGAACCTTTCCTGCATTCGCACTCTTTCATTTCTCCTCTGTCTCCTCCAAAGCTTGACAGCGTCTCCATCGCGCCCGTTTCCCTGCCTTGAAGCTCTTTCTTGGCAGCGATCAAGCGTCACATCAAGCCCCCCCTCACACCCCGTCAACCCCATCAGCATCAGCGCCCAGCCATGCAGCTCACCCAACCCACGGCAGCCAAGCTGCTGCTCCTCTGGGCGTCCGTCGCGACGGCGATGCCGCACTTTGACAGCCCGCGCGAGCGTCTGCTCCGGGGCATGGAGATCCCCGCGAGCTACCGTAAGAAGAGCGCCTTCGCCGACGAGTCGAACGCGAAGAACCCGTACACCCCGGGCTTCCGGGACCCCAACGACGGCGCCGTCGACTCGGTCGGCGACGGACTCGACCCGCTGCCCTACCGCAACGGGCTGGGCTCGTCGGTCCTGGGCCCGTGGAACAAGGAGCGCTCGCGCCAGAACCCGGACCTCGTGCGCCCGCCGTCGACGGACCACGGGAACATGCCCAACATGCGCTGGAGCTTTGCGGATTCGCATATTAGAATCGAGGTGAGTTGCGACGCTGCCAATTGGCTGTTGAAGGGCTTCAATTGGGTTACCGGTAATCATTCGCGACTAACATGGTTTCTCTGGAACAGGAGGGCGGCTGGACACGCCAGACAACCGTCCGCGAGCTGTCAACCAGCGTCGAGCTCGCCGGCGTGAACATGCGCCTCGGCGAGGGCGTCATCCGCGAATTGCACTGGCACAAGGAGGCCGAGTGGGCGTACGTCCTGGACGGCGAGGTCCGCGTGACGGCGCTCGACTACGAGGGTGGCAACTTCATCGCAGACGTCGGCAAAGGCGATCTGTGGTATTTCCCGAGTGGTGTTCCTCACTCGCTGCAGGGATTGAGCCCCAACGGCACCGAATTCCTTCTCATCTTTGACGACGGCAGGTTCTCGGAGGAGTCTACCTTTATTCTCTCTGACTGGCTTGGTGAGTGTTTCTTGCGGATGTTTTCTTTGCTGTTGCATGCTACAGCGGACTGTACATCCACATCGCCCCGGGATGTGTGGCATTTGTCTTCAAGCACAAGCAAAAGCTACGGAAACCGACACCATCAATGAAGCTCAACTAACAAACATCTCACAGCCCACACCCCCAAATCCGTCATCGCCGAAAACTTCCACCTCGACCCCGAGATCTTCAAGCACATCCCCGAGGGCGAGAAGTACATCTTCCAAGGCACCCTGCCCGGGTCCATCGAAGACGAGCGGCCGACCGGCAAGCACGCCAAAAAGTCAAAGTACAACTTCGTGCACTCGATGCTCGCGCAGGAGCCCGAAATCACCTCGGGCGGCGAGGTGCGCATCACCGATTCCAAGAACTTCCCCATCTCCAAGACGGTCGCCGCCGCGCACCTCACGATCCAGCCGGGCGCGTTGCGCGAGATGCACTGGCACCCCAACGCCGACGAGTGGTCCTTCTTCATCAAGGGCCGCGCGCGCGTCACCATCTTCGCGGCCGAGGGCACCGCGCGCACGTTCAACTACGTCCCCGGCGACGTGGGCATCGTGCCGAAGAACATGGGGCATTTTGTCGAGAATATCGGCGACGAGCCGATTGAGATGCTCGAGATCTTTAGGGCGGATGAGTTCCGTGATTTCTCCCTCTTCCAGTGGATGGGAGAGACGCCTAAGAAGCTTGTGATTGACCACCTGTTCAAGGGTGATAAGGAGAATGGCGAGAAGTTCTGGAATGAGGTGAAGGAGGCGCAGAAGGATCCCGTGACCAAGTACCAGAAGACGGATGTCAAGGCTGGTGGTTCGGTTCTCGACGGAGCTTCTGATGAGTTGTAGAGGAAAAGCAAAAAGTGTTTTGTAATAGTATAGTATTCGCGCGTTCACAAAGCTAAACATGTTATCCACGATTGAATTACATCACCCTATGGCTACCTTTTTATACCTATCCATCCCTCACGCCCTCAATGTGGGCCGCGAACATATCAAGTCACACTAGTGTACAATTCCACCGATTTCCTCGATGAACGCCTCGCTCAGTTCAACTCATGGTTCGACTTGATCGCCTTTGACTTTCCAGTATCCAACACCACGGCCGGGTCGTCGGGGTTACCGTCACGCGACACCTCGTTTCCGTTTTTCGTCTCGATAGTAGTCCTGAGCATGCCATGTTAGCTAGCCATCACCTTCCAGCACTCACAGTGGTCTGCGACTTACTTCTCCTCCTTGACGTCGAGGACTTTGCCCTCCGGGTTACCATTGCCCCATTGCCAGCTGACCTTGTCGCCCTTCTTAGGGCCCTTCTTGGTCTTCTTGCTGCTGCCGTTCTCCTTGTCATCGCCCTCCTCGTCGTCATCCTCCATCTCCTCGTCGCCGTCATCCTCGGCCTCTTCTTCCTCCTTCTCATCCTCTCCGTCCTCGTCGTTCTTGGTGGCCTTGCCCTCGCCTTGGCGGGTCTGTCGCTTCTTGTTGGATCCGTTCTCCTCACCGGACTTCTTGCGCTTGTCGCCAGTCTTCTCTTCATCAGCCTCCTCCTCTTCCTCCTCCTTGCCCTCGTCGGCCTTTTCAACCTCCTCCTCCGCCTCTTCCTCATCGTCTTCCTTCTTGCTACCATTCTTCTCCTTCTTGGATCCATTGGATTCCTCCTTCTTGGACCCGTTGGACTCGGCTTTCTCCTCGTCACCGTTCTTGCTCTTCGCAGACTTGCCATTCTGCTCGCCTCCCTCCTTGCCTTGGGCCTTGAGGAAGTCGTGGCCCCAGTTCTTCAGTGACGCGTACGACTTGGTCTTCTTCACCTCCTCGGGCGACTTTTCGCTGTTGCCCTTTGCCTCTTGGGCCAGGTGCCGCTTGCTGGAGTTCCCGTTAGCCATCAATTACTTCAACAATACCGTCACGTCGCACTCACCAATACGCAACGACCTTGCGCATGTGCTCAACCTGGTCGTCCGTGTACTCTTCCTCCTTCTTGTCCGGGTTGGCCTTCAGGATCTCCACAATGTTGCGCCCGCTGTCATGCCCGACTGTCTCCCCATCGCCCTCCGCGTCGTCCTTGGGCCAGCCAGCGCTGTTCGAGTCGCCTGACTTGAGCCACGACTCCAGCTCCTCGGCCGTCATGTTGACGTACTCGTTGAACTCAGAGATGACCTCTTCCTTGCCCTTCATTTTTGCGGTAGGTGTCTGGTTGTAACGTTTCGGTGTTGATATCGATAATTAGCTGTCTTGATGCAATTTGCAGCAGGGTGCAGAGTCACAGTAGCAATCAGTAATGGAACGAACAAGCCGGCTCCTTGCGGGGAAGCGGGTGGGAGGGCGCAAGAGCTATTTGAACCAAACTCAATTGACTTCCACGCCTTCTTCCCTCCCCTTTCCTGCCTTTGTGTCACTCTGACGCTTTCCGACACACCAACCTCCTCCTCCTGTTCTTGAGACGGTCCACAGGTGCGTTCACACATGGGTCCTTTCTTTCGCCGTTCGCGGCCAATTCGTCATGGTGTCTCGTGTGGAATGGTGTCGTCATAGAAACACGATCGATGCCCCTTGCATAAGTGGCTGCGCTGGGTCGCACTGGTGCAACAGCCCTTCGACAAAAGAAGAACGAAGCTTATTTTAGGCGGAAAGCTGGAGGAGGGGGGGAAAGTCAAAAAAGCAATGGGGAAGAAAAGCTCAGCTCTGAGCTTGCTTTTCCCCTCATGTCCATTGGCCAATTAGAACCCGGTGAACATGGGAGAGCTCTGTGAGCTTTTGATTGCTTGCTTCAGCTACGAGGTCTGAGCTCTACAGTCAAGTGTCACGCCGGCTGTCATCGATTGCCCTCTTCGGATGCGGCGTCAGTGTCACGGCAACTTTGAATTGCTGTCTCGGCGCTCATTCACTGGGAAAATGCTGTATTGGGTATAGAACATGTCTAGATGCCGCTCATGCTGCGGGCTTGGGCCTTTCTGGGGGTTGCCTGTCTCACGTCAAATTATCCCGACATGTTCAAGCGCCAGGCACGGATTCCTCATGTACCCCAGATTATTCTTCCTCATTGCTGCCCCGTTGCCGTCGTTTGCTCCGTGTCTCAGGTGAACAGGCAACCGGTCTGGTCGGTCTTGACGACGTTGTCGAGCTTGGAGCCGAGCTGCCCGGCGCGCGTGATCCAGGTCTGGCCGAAGAGTGACGGTGGTTAGCATGTGTTTCTCTGAGCGACGGTTGGCGGTGGTGTTGCGACGACTTACATCGAGGACCTCGTCGGCGGGGTTCTGCTCGCGGCTGAGCACGAACAAGGTGCTGAAGTTGTAGGCTTGCACGACGGCGAAGTCGGGGGTGTAATCTGCACAATGTCGTCAGCCCATCTGCGCAAAGAAATCAGTTGACACGAGCTGGTTCACTCACCTTGGACGATGTAATTCGGGCCCGCGCAGCTGGGGGCCGGTTGACCGGGGAATTGCACGCGGAGAACGCCCTTGGCGCCGTACGACGGATCGGCGGGCGCGGCGGTTCCAAGAATGTTGACCGGGGTGGTGTCGGCCTGGCAGGTGTTGTTTACCAGCACGGTGCCGTTGTCCTGGGGGGCAAAGGTCAGCGATAATCCTCCTATCGCATCGTACGAGAGAGATTAAACGAGTTCCTCGGGACTCGGGCACGGAAACTAACGTTGAGAGAGTACTGCGCAAAAATGCACTTGCACCCGGCCGTGAAGGGCGCGACGGTTCCGGCGACCTGGTACCAGCGGCCGAGATAGCTCTCGAGATCGAACGCGGAGTCCGGCGTGGGGTAGTAGCATTCCCCGTCCCAGACGGCGGGCACGACGTTCGGGATCGTCGTCTCGGAGGTGCCGTTGGTTGTCGCGGCCGCCGTTGCGACGGCGGCGCACGAGAGGAGGGTGGGCAGGGTTGAGGGCCGCATGGTGGAAGTCTGACAACTCGGTTTCTTACAATAGAGCAAGTCTAATAACTTTCGGCGGCACGTTTCACGGCGCAAAGAGCTGGTGTTCGTCTGAATTGGGCTTGAAGAGCAAGGGAGGGCAGGCGATGGCAGTGCCGTTCATCCCATCATTCCCTTTTAACTATTTGACCACGACAGGCCTCCATCGTGGAATCGTGCCATGGCGGTGTTGTTCTGTGTAATGATGAACACGCCAATGCTTGTCCTCGCAGAACCCAAGTGTCCGAGGTCCGAAGCCAACAAAGCAGCATTTGTCTGTCAAAATACTCTCAGAATCATGAGAGCCCACCGTCGCCCTGCAAAGTGGTGACGACATTGATGCCTCTTTAGGCTACGAACTCGCTGTACGCCAAGTCGGTTGGCTGCGTGGCCCTGGAGCGATGTGGTGCTGTGGTTCCTGAGCGTCCATTCAGCAGCTGTTTGGACTTTTGGTAAAATGACAGCCCCTGGCGGTCCCTGTTTTTAGTGGGCTTTCTGGCTGAAAGTCCCGCGTCGATCGTCGTGGCCATGCTGCTGCGGTGCCGCTTCTCCGCACCTTGGGGGCTTGCCAATCGGCGATTTCAGCTTTGGATCTGAGATAGTCGGTGGTAAATAGAGACAGGGTTTGTCTAGCCTGTGCCGAGGCTGGTGTCTCGTTGTGATTCTGTCTCCGTTGAGAGCAGCAATTGACACCGCGTTCTCAGAGACACAGCGTCCAAGGTGAATTCATCTAGACCTGAGCTACAGCAGCGTATGGCTGTAGGATAGGGCATGCTCTCTTAGTTCAGAGGAAGCTACATAGGATGCATTAGACAAGCTACTTCTAAGGACGTACCGCGTCTCCGAGGACCATCATCTCAAACTCTTTCGCAACTTGGACGACCTCCCGAGCCACGTGCGCTTCCTTGACCCCTAGCTTACTAGACGTCGCCTCCATTGCCAACCCTTACGAAGCCCGCGCCAGCACTGCAGGACAGATTCCTGGAAAGGGAAGCTACCAATCACAGTGACCATATTATCAGGAACTCGGGCTCTTTCCATGTCCTCTTCTGCGATTGTGAACCACTAAAGCGCTGATGTTTGGCTATCGCGGTCGATGCGTCTCTCACTGCGTGTGACTCTAGTAAGAAATTCAGTCCATTCCCCAGGTTCGATCAGTCTAGAACATGGTGGCAGACGAATCAACAAACACACATAAGATAATAGAATTTAGGTTTACGGTTATTTGAACAACCATCGTCATGAATTGAAAGGCATGTACTGGATGTTGATGTAAGTGTGTTCTCCCTTCCGAGACTGAGCCGTGAGCTCGGCCGCGATTGTGGGGCCGCCCCGAAATCCCCGGGGGATAAGGATACCCGCAAACAGCGACCTGCATTTCCGAAGTCGCATCTGCTGTCAAGTTTGGCACTCGTTAGCCGGAAACGTGCCTTGTGTTTGCGTCCAAAATTGCCGCTACCCAATACTTGACAATCTCAACCACAACCGCGAAATTATCGTCTCAGGATTCGTCTTGACTGAACCAGGAGGCGGATCTAAGAATCACGAAGATGTCGGAAAATATCCAAGGCCCCGGTCTCCTTTTCGTGAACTCCAAGATTATTCGCCCAGATCTCATTGACGAGGAGGCGTTCTTCAAATGGTACGATGAAGACCACATTGCGGAGATCCTCGCAACGAGCGGTATCCAGTCCGCCTTTCGCTTCCTCGACGTCAACATCGGCAGCGTCGAACGGCCGTATCTAGCCATGTACCCGATGAGAGACATTGGCTTCACGAAAACCGAGGAGTTCCGCAACATCAACGTCTCGAGCGACATGCTTCCGAACGGCGGCCCCATCTACGACCTGGCGGACTTTGACGTGCGGTACTACAAGTTGGTCCAGGTCTTTGATCCCAAGAAGAAGGGCAAAGGTAAGCAGCACATGCTAGCT